ATATCATTCACCTTCATTTTGAGAGCCTTTTTGACTTGATTCTCGTGGCCTTTGTCCAAAAACATATCCAAAAAAAAAGTAACATTTTCACCTTGATTTTCATATAATTGATGTGGAGGATATATCTGAGGAGGATACATGAGAAGTGGAGGTGGTTGATATATTGGTGGCGGAGGATACATTTGAGGTTGATATGGCACACCATAATTAGAAAATGATGGATAATAACCATATGGTTGTGGATAACCATGTAAAGGTTGGAAATATAGAAATTGTTCTGGTGGATAAAAACCTTGTGTGCTAGTAGATGAATCTCCCTGCCCAAGGTTACTAGAACTTGATCTTCTACTAGATGAAGAGCCTACAGAAGTATGCTTCTTGCACTTTCCTTTTGATGGAGCTTTAGGTTCACTTTTATTTCTTATTGCTTTCGAAGATATATTTCCACCAAATTTCGATCTATCACGGAAATATCCACTAGTGGTACCAACCCCATATTCTCTTTCATATAGACTAGAATACCTAATTTCATCTCTACCATCACCACCACCACCACCATCATCATCATCATCATCAATTGGACTTAAACCACCACCATCAAGCCCATCACGACTTTGACTTGGTGTTGCACTAGAACTTGAATGAGCCAAATTTTGTTGTTGAGATTCATCAATATTCGTTTCATCATCTGAGGTATCCACATGCAACACACCGGCAATTTCACCATCTAACAATGGATTCTCTTTCTCTTGAAGCCATTCTGATAATGGATCAACATCTTCAAAGATATGATCAAGGTTGATAGGATTAAAACTAGTGTTTATATCATCGATGCTCGTTCTTTTCTGATGTCTAATCTGGAGCCTCATATTGTAGTAGGTGAACACTAATTTCTCAAGACTTTTTTACTTCAACCTATTTCTTGCCTTGGTGTGCATATAGTTAAATGTGCTCCAATTTCGTTCACAATTTGATGCATTAGTTGTTTGACTAAGCACTTTAATTGCTAATATTTGTAACTCAGGAATACATGTGACATATATTATCCACCACTCGACTGCAAAATAATGTTTAAATTTCAAAATAAAATTAAAAATGTACAATATAACTAAATAATATAAATTAAATAATTTAGTTAACTATTTACCTGGATTCATTTGCCTCCAAGCTCTCTGTGCTTGTGGAGTACCGAATGTCTCATGTTTATCTCATAACAACTGCATAAATAAAAGATAAAGTAAAAATGAATACAAAATATTTTCAAATTATGTAATTAAGTTACAAATAATAATATTTGAATCTAACCTGATTAACTATTCTGATTTGAGTGTCAAGAGAAGGTTCTAATCTTTCAATTATTAATCTTGCACCTTCTAATGTTTCTATCAATACATTATCATAATGCTCCACCCTAAATTGAAATTGAGGATTGAGAAAATAACCTAAGCATAATTTATGAGAATATCATTAAATAATAATTTAGAGCTTAAAGTAATAAAATTTCATCTATAATAAAATATAAAAATAATTCTTAATTATATGAATCATTTTATCTTACCAGTTGAATGCAAGTCAGAATGCATAAAATTCCACCTATTGTCAATAATCTTTTCATACTCGGTGAAATATCGACAATCTTGTTGAATCGCCCGTTTTGCTCTATCAACAGCTTCATAAATAAAGCTCATTGTTGGTTTTTCATCACTATTCACAAGTCTCAATACTTTCACTAAGGGCTCGTAAACTTTTATGAGGTCATTTGTTTTTTTCCAAAAAAACAATTCCCAAAATAATCTTCTTGGCCTCGTAAGCTGGCCATGTCTTTTGTTGTCCCTATTTTGATTATTTAAATTTCTGTATATTCATAAAAAATTAAAATTATATAATTTAAAGTATTTACAAATAATAAATCATTAAAGATTATTATATTTAAGTAATTATATAACTAATTATAAAATACTGACATTTGAATTAAACATTTCTCTCAGACCTTACTTTTGTCTTGTTATCTCTTCAAGCTGGATGAAATGAGTTGCAAATCGAGTAAGAGCGGGTCGAAGTATTTGCTTCCCTTGTGTATACTTCTTCATTAGATCAACAGTCCAAATGTGATTGTATATGAAACAAGTCACTTTCTTAGACTCTTCTAACACTTTTGCTACACTAGGCCTTTTTCTAGTATCTGCAAGGCATAAATCCAAACAATGAGCTGCACATGAGGTCCAATATAGATGCTTTCTTTTTAACATTATTTTTTTCCAGCGACTTTCATTGCTGCCTCATTATCAGTCACTATTTGGACAATGTAGCTTTCTCCAATTTCTTCTACAACTGAATCTAACAAGTTGTAGTAGAACTCAACATCTCTGCTACGAACACTTGAGACATCCATGGATTTTCAGAAAATGATTCCTTTACTGCAATAAACAAGGAAATTAATGATGTGCATTTGGTTTAAATTGTTGGTCCAACCATCACACATTAGAGTTGCACCAAATCTTTCCAATGAGTCTTCATTTCATTTATCCAATCACGAACTCGTTCAAATTTTGACTCCAAATACACATCTGAAACCTCATAAGGTGTTGGCAGCTTTACAACTTGTCCAAATTCTATTGACACTTGAATTAAATTATATAACCATGGAGAACTTGCTTATTGAAAAGGAAGTCGTTCATATATTAAAAATTTAGATACCGCTTCACCCATCTTCTTGCGTAAAGTCTTTAAAAAAAACCACTGACCTTTGGTTGTTTTGAGCTTGTACTTCTAACCAATTCAAGTGTATCTCCTCGTAAGGTAAACTCAGACTCACTCGGGATGGATTTACTTGTTCTTTCTCGATGATATCCTCCAACTGATCCATGGGAAGGTCGCCATTCTTCATAAATATTACTCCAACCACCAGTACTTCGTCTGAATTCTTCTCTTCTATGCCACTCATGTTGTGATTTGATACTTTCTCGAGTTGCTTGCCTAATTGCATCAATCTCGTCAATGAATCCTTCATTTTCATCCCCTCTTCTCTTAATTGGGACAAGAATTCTTATGTTCTCCTCTTTTTGTCTATTTTTTTGTTGTATTCTTTTAATAAATTCATCATACTTTCTCTAATGACACCTGTTAATAAAATAAAAATAATGTCAATTTTGTATTGTTATCAATTATATATAATCTATATCAATAAACTTATAGTAAAATTTAAAAATAATAATAAAAATATCACATACCAGTAACATTAGGGAATGGTGCAACATTTTCGGTTTTATGAGCAATGTGTTCTTTAAATCGTGTTATTCTTCCTTTCACAACTTTACCACATAGTTTACATGAAATGCTTCCTCTCGCATTTGGCACTGGAGTACCAAAGTGTCAACCTATATCATTACTCGGTGCACCTTCTAATCATTTCGTCGGAAACTCTTCACGTGGTGGCATGCTTTATTTTTATTTATATACAAAAAACATAAAGCCAAAAAAATAGAATTTAGAAATATAAACAATTCATCACTTCTATTATCAATAAGATAATAGAAAAAATAATAAACATTATTAACAGTGAAAAAATAAGTTTGTTACATAAACTATTAAATAATAAAAATAATTGAAGTATATAAAATTTAAATTCAACATTTGTTTTAAAAAATTCATAAGGCCATAATAATAACTAATTAAATAGCCTAATCTATTTAATTATATCGGGTAAATTCATAAGGTCATAACATAAGAATAACCCAAATATTCCATTTAAATTTAATAATCACGTATTTTACTTACTTGAAATTGTGAGATTCTCTTCAAAGTGAAAGTTTTTTTCCTTTTGATTTTTCTTTGATTTTGAGTTTGGGTCAATAAAATTTGAGAGGATTTTTGAAGTTGCAAGCAAAAATTTTTAGATTTCAATTTGGGGTTCTTTTTCCTGCTCTTTTTTTTATATTTTGTACCGATTTAATAATTGTGAATTTGTGATTACTTTTTTTCAATTTTGATGTAAAGTAAATTGATTTTTACAGGTTTTACAGAGAATATATTCTTTCATTTTTACTTTTTTTTTACTTTTGTTGTAAAGGAAACTGAATTGCTATTTTTTTTAATTAATTTTGATGTTGGTGATTTCTGATATTGTAACGGGGATTAACGGGAAAAAGATATGTTATTGGCGCGATCGACCGTTACCCGTTAAATTGCGGCCGTTATCGGCTGTTATGGGTGTGATTCCGTTTCACACCGTGATTTCGGCTAATATTGGTAACGGTGGCCGCCGATACCGCGAAATAACTGCCTTACACGGCCGTTTTTTGAATCCCTGGTCGGATATAAGTTTTGCCCTTAAAATCGAGTTGGTTTGGGATTGGAAGAGAGCCTCGTAAACTCGAGTTAGATCAAATGCGTGTAGAGGAGTTTAATTTTTGGACCAAGTTCGAATGGATCAAAATCCCGGATCCGACCCATGATCATCTCTAGATTTATACTTTATGAAGTTATCGTCGTTGATATAACTAATGAATCCTTTGTTTTTTTGGTACGCATTCATTACTTCTGTAGATCAAGAATAGATCTTCAAGACATACCTTAATGGCCGGGATGGAACGTTAGTGTTAAGGCATAGGCACTCATCGGTTATGCTGGCTCATTCCGTGCAAATTCCAGTTATTACCGATTTCATTTCAAACAGAGTTCAACACTGAAATTGATACAAATGCGTTCACAGGAGATTCATAATAACATTGCCTGCCAATGTTTCAGTTGAAACATTTGGGTTTTTTAACAGCTAGAGCTTTGGTGAACATGCGCCCCCCAGAAAGAAAGAAAAAAAAAGCATTTGGTCAACTGCAACCGGCTGCATGTTCTCATCTTCCTTCCTTAATTCTTGGAACAGGACTGATGACAAGTATCGCTCCCCGAAACTCGGATGAACGGTCTGAAATTTTGTTTCAGAAGAAAAAGAATAGACGTTACGTGAGAATCACTACTGAAATTTCATTAAAGGAGAAGTTTATGCTACTCTCAAATTCTTGCAAGTCTGAGTGCTGCAACAGTGTTGGACCCGGATGATATTCCGACCTGCATTCCACAAAAAGTCAGTAACATCCCGATGCATGAACAGAAACATCAACAAAAGTAAATCGAAACATGATTTGTGTTATATTACCATAAGTCCCTCTTTCAGTGCCAATTCCCTTGCCATATTGACTGCATCTTCACTGCTGACCTGTCATACGAGATCCCGACATAAGCCTCGAAGGGACTAGATATTCAACTAAAGATACTAAATCATTATTCGACATAAGCACATCGATTATTGTTTACCTCGAGAACTTTTTCCATTACATCCATGTCCAATATATCTGGCTTGAACCCGACTCCGTTGCCAGTAATATGACGAGGGACTTGCAATTGTTAAGAATACCTGAAGGAAAAACAGCATATGAGTAATATCAATCAATGCAAAGTTTACCTGGTTTGCCACCATTCAGTGTATTACTTTCAGCAGGCTCCACTCCGTATATCTATCATTAAAAGGAACAGACATCAGCAATGATATGAAACAAATATAAAAGAAAGCATTGTTGTTAGAAAGAGTTAACTCGGTAAGAAAAAGTAATTGATTACCTTTACATTAGGATTTTGAGATTTGAGGTACTGTCCGACGCCAGAAACGGTACCACCACTCCCTATTCCCATTACAAAGATGTCGACTTTACCGAGAGTATCCTCCCATATCTCGGGGCCGGGTCTCAAATGCACCTATGTTTCCAGTTTGAAATAGCTTGATTAAGTAATTTTCCAGTTTGAGGAATATTGCATTGTCAGTCCAAATAACTATGGTAATACGTTATTAAACGAGGATATAGGAGTGTACCTGTGTTGATAAATAAACCGAGTACAAGTAATTTCCCTATAACCAGATTAGTGAGAATGTGAAATAAAAGCATAAAAATAATACCCGAAATTGATAACGGAGTTTAGTCAATTATGCCTACGTCTCCGGACTGCTGCAGATCTTTTACCAAAGAGAAAATTTACAGGTGTTTACAAAACACTTGCTACTCACAAGAAAGCTCTCTAGTATTGGGAGAAAGAAATGATTTGGGATTTTGGGATGATTTTGAAGCTAAATGAACTAAGGTATTTATAGTTGAAACTTAGTGACTAATATTGTAATTAACTCTATTTCTATTTTAATTAAAAATTAGGGCACCGATTCAGTGCCCCCTTTATTGAAAAACCCATGCACCTGTGCCCCCCATTTCTTCTGCCAGCAAAACTCACCGAAAAAATGCCCACTTCTTTTGACTTTTCTCTAACAATCTCCCACTTGAAGATTGATTTTAATATGTCTTCACACCTCGATCGATGCAGCAGTATTTCTGGTCTTGTTATTCTAGCATGCCAACTGAAGCTGAACACAACTTCAGTTTGTCCGTAGTTACCGTCTTTGTCAACATGTCTGCCGGATTTTGAGCTCCACTAATCTTTTCTAGTTTTAAAATCTCATCTTCCATAAGAGACCGGATAAAGTGATATCGCAATTGTATGTGCTTCGTCCTGGAATGAAAAGACAGATTCTTTACTAGATGGATAGTACTTTGACTATCGCAGTACAAGACATTGTTTTCTTGTTTCTTGCCTAACTCTTCCAAGAAACTTTGGAGCCAAACCATCTCCTTGTTGGCTTCCGTAACAGCAACATATTCTGTTTCAATTGTGGAGAGAGCAATTATCTTATGTAGTTGAGAAACCCAACTCACTGCAGTTCCTCCTAGAGTATAGACATACCTTGTAGTGCTCTTTCTGATGTCAACATTTTCGGCTAAGTCAACATTTACATAGCCTTTCAGGATCGTATCTCCACTTTTGAAACAAAGTGCTTTGTTTGTGGTACCCCGCAGATATATGAGGATCCATTTGACTGCTTCCCAGTGTACCTTGCCCGGATTATTCATGTACCTGCTAACAGCTCCCACTGCATGAGCAATATCTGGTCTGGTACAAACCATGGCATACATCAAACTTCCAATTGATGAGGCATATGACACATTCACCATGTGTGCATGTTCTTCCTCCGTCTTTGGTGAATGTTCTTTGGAGAGTCTCAAGTGAACACCTAAAGGTGTACTTACTGGTTTAGCATCTTGCATGTTGAACCTGTAGAGTACTTTGTTGATGTACTCAGCCTGTGATAATATCAAATCCCCCGACTTTATGTCTCTCTTGATCCTCATCCCAAAAATATGCTTCGCAGCGCCCAGATCCTTCATAGCAAACTGCTTCGACAATTTTTGCTTCAAGTTTATAATCTCTTGCATGTCTGAGCCTGCAACGAGCATGTCATCAATGTACAACAATAAAATAATGAAGCTATTGTCGAACCTCTTGATATAGCAACAATGATCTGCTTGGCATCTGGTAAAACCACTGCTACTCATGAAACTATCGAACTTCTTGTACCACTGTCTAGGAGCTTGTTTTAAACCATACAAGCTCTTCTTCAACCTGCATACCAGGTTTTTCTTGTCTGCCTCTATGAAGCCTTCTGGCTGCCTCATATAGATTTCTTCCTCCAAATCACCATGAAGGAAAGTTGTCTTTACATCTAACTGCTCAAGATGTAAATTCTCTGCAGCTACAATTTTCAACACCAGTTTGATTGTAAACAGTTTTACGACTGGAGAAACAATTTCATTGTAGCCAATACCTTCTTTTTGCTGAAAACCTTTAACAACCAATCTTGCTTTGTAGCGTTTACTCCCATCGTGCTCTTCTTTGATACTGTAAATCCACTTGTTATGGAGTGCTTTATTGCCTGGTGGTAATTCAGCTAATTCCCACGTCTGATTTGACATAAGCGAGTCCATCTCATATTTCAAGGAAGACTCTCACTTGACTGAATCCTCCACTTGATTTGCTTTATCATAGCACTCTGGTTCACCATTGTCAGTTAGCAACAAGTAGTGCAAAGAAGGAGAATACCGTTGGGTTGGTTTAGGAATTCTGGAGGAGCGTCTCAGTTCTGGTGTGCCTGGTTCTTCTTGAACTACTTCATGATTGATCTGAACATCATTTCTAGAAATCTCCTCGAACTCAACAAATTCCTTTGTTTCAGCTTTGGTATTAGAGCTACTTGATTCTACAATTGACCTCTCTTTGTATATCACATTCTCATTGAAAATGAAATCTCTGCTTCTGATGATCTTTCGATTTTCGTATTCCCAAAATCGATAACCGAACTCATCACCACCATAACCAACAAAAACGCATTTGTTGGACTTGGCATCAAGTTTACTTCTTCCAGCAGAATCTATGTGTACATAAGAAATACAACCAAAATCTCTTAAGTGTGAAAGGTTTATTTATTTTTTGCTCCAAACTTCTTCTGGTATTCTGACATCCAAAGGAACTGAAGGCCCACAGTTGATCAGGTAAGCTACAATGTCGATAGCTTCAGTCCATAGAAATTTGGGTAATCCGGCATGTATTTTCATGCTTCTGGCACGTTCATTCAGAGTTCTATTCATGCGCTCTGCTACATCATTCTGTTGCGGTGTCATGGGAAATGTTGTCTCCATCTTGATCCCATTGTTTGCGCAGAAATCTCTGAATCTATGATTTTTGTACTCTCCTCCATTGTCAGACCTCAATCGTTTGACTTTCAGACCAGTCTCATTTTCCACCATGGTCTTCCATTTTCTGAAGGTATCAAAGACTTCTGATTTCTTCTTCAGAAAATAAACTCACACATTCCTTGTAGAATCATCGATGAAGGTGACATAATATAATGAGCCTGCAAGAGATGGAACTGGAGATGGTCCCCATACATCAGTATGGACCAACTCTAACTTTTCAGCATTGGGTGTCTTACCAATCTTTGCAAAGCTGGCTTTCTTTTGTTTGCCAAAGTTGCAATCCTCTCATAGTCCGACATCTACACTCTTTAGATCCGGCAGCTTCCCTTTTGATAAAAGTGTCTTCATCCCTTTCTCGCTCATATGGCCAAGCCTTTGGTGCCATAGGTTTGATTTTCCATCAGCATCTGCTACTGCAATGATATTCTCTAAATTTGAGGTTATATAGAGAGTATCAGTCTTCTTACCACGAGCTATGACGAGTGCTCCTTTGGTAATCTTCCATTCACAGCCTGAAAAAGTTGTGCTATATCCTTCTCTATCAAGCTGTCCTACAGAAATCAAATTTCTTTTGAGGCCAGGAATATGTCTTACTCCTTTCAGCGTCTAGGTGGTCTGGTTTGGAAACTTTAATCGGATGTCTCCTTTTCTGACAATCTTCAAGGTTTCATCATCAGCTAGATTAACCTTCCCAAAATCACCACTGACATAGTTCTCCATGATTTCTCGGCATGGGGTGGAGTGGAAAGATGCCCCTGAATCCAAGATCCATGATTCAATCAGATTGTAGACGCTTAGAATCATGGAATCACCTGTCTCCTCTGTCATGTTGACAGATCCCTGTGTACTGGTATCTTTCTTCAGTGCTCGACAATCTCTTTTAAAATGACCATTCTTGCCACAATTATAACAGATATAATCTTTCTTTCCCGTTCTTGATTTTCCCCTTCTGGATTTGGATCTTTCATTATTTGAATTGCTTTATGAAGTTCTCCCTCTAGACTCCGTGTGCAAGGCTGAGGAGCTTGATGCTTCACCTTATTCTCTCCGTCGAATTTCTTCGCTCAGTACCAGATCCCGAACATCGTCGAATTTCAATTTACTGTTTCCCGACGAGCTGCTAACTACTGTAATTGTAGCATTCCAACTATCTGGTAGAGATGATAAGAGAATTAAAGCTCGAACTTCATCATCAAATTCAATTTCCACGGAACTCAACTGGGTTGTAATTGTGTTGAGTTCATTTAGGTGTTGAGCCACTGATGCCCCTTCCGCTATCCGCAAATTAAATAATCGCCTCATCAAATGAACTTTGTTTGAGGCTGATGGCTTCTTATACATACTGGAGAGAGCCGCCATAAGACCCGCTGTGGTCTTTTCCTTTGCTATGTTGAAAGCAACATTACGGTATAACGTTAGTCAGATAACTCCGAGGACTTATCTATCGAGAAGAGCCCAGTCTTCATTCTTCATGCCCTCTGGTTGCTTTCCTGAGAGATGTTGATATAGATTTTTCTAGTACAAAAAATCTTCAATCTGCATCTTCCAAAAGTCAAAGTCCGCACCATCGAACTTTTCAATTTTCACATTCCCTTCGTCTGCAGCCATCGCTCCCACTCGAATCTGGCTTCGTTTGGATCGTTTCTGACAATTCTTGCGAACCACTGTGTATTAGAACACCTCCGTCGACAAATTCGTATCGCCAACAAAATTTCACTATTCATGAAATTCACTATTCATGTGAATAGTAATGAATAGTAACATCACAAAAAATTGACAAAATTCACAACCAAAAGCTCTGATTACCAGTTGTTGGGAAATAAATCCGAATACAAGTAATTTTCCTATAACCAGATTAGTGAGAATGCGAAATAAAAGAGGAAAAATAATACCCGAAATTGATAACGGAGTTGAGCCAATTATGCCTACGTCTCCGAACTGCAGATCTTTTATTAAAGAGAAAATTTACAGGTGTTTACAAAACACTCACTACTCACAAGAAAGTTCTCTAGTATTGGGAGAAATAAATGATTTGGGATTTTGGGATGATTTTGAAGTTAAATGAGCTAAGGTATTTATAGTTGAAACTTATGGACTAATATTTTAATTAATCTTATTTATATTTTAATTAAAAATTGAGGCATCGATTCGGTGCCCCTTTGTTGTTGAAAAACCCATGCACTTGTGCCCCCATTTCTTCTGCAAGCAAAATCCACCGAAAAAATGCTCACTTCTTTTGACTTTTCTTCAACAACCTGAGTGTTGGCAGGATTTGAAAATTGTTGCAACGTGAAAGCATTCGGTGTGGACTCCAGTAGTTCATAAGCCTTCTTCACCGTTCCTCCCATCCCCATGTTACCGGATGTCGGCTCTATAAGAGTTGTCAAACATAAAGTAAAAAAAAACATGTTATGGGGGGAAATTAAAGCAACTGAACACCAAAGTTAGTATCAACAATTCAACAAGGCCATCGGCCATCCGGCAAACCTTTCCGGGAGAAAGTAAGTTCATCTTTTCAGCATCGTTGATCATGGAGAGTGCCGGTCTGTTGAAAAGAAGCGTCCGATTAGTTTCGGTTCGACCTTATCTCATGTCCAACATATCTAAAATTTCAAACTAATACTTTAGTGTAAAGTGCCAAGAAGGGCAGAAACCAATACCTGTCTTTAATGCTAGAAGTGGGCTGCATCATCTACAGCAATACGCTCCGCAGCCATCGGTTACTTTTAAGAAAAACAAGAGGCGTCCTTCCAATTAGCTGAAACATGAAGAATCAATTCTTAGATAAGGATGAACTTCATTAAACAATAGTTTCAAATTTTTTAAAAGATTAAAAGGAAGAGACAGAAGTGAAAATAAATTATGATAATACATCAACAACTTCAGGTAGAATTTATTATCAAGTAAATAAATATTTAGAAACGCAGAGCAAAATCAGCAGATACGACGAATTATCTTCAGCTAAAGCAATTCAATGAAGTAAATCTTTGCTTTGCAACTACAATGATACTTGCCAAAAGCGATCTGTTATAGGAAAAAATAAAAAAAAAAAAAAACCCATTTTGGTAGAGAAATTACCTTTAAAAAAAGGGCAAACAAGAAAAGAAAGAACGAATTAAAGTCTAATTAATTATAAACAAAGTTCATGAGAGATAGAGATTACCTGGGAAACCTCCCTCTTGATTTTAGTACCAGGAAGATCCTTGGGAAGATCCCTAAGTCTTTGAGCAAAAGAAGGAGAATCGATAACCGGTTCGGTGGAGACTAGCCTCCTTGACATCGTCATCTCGTTGCACGTTAAAGATCTTTTCCTGAGTAAGCTCCTTAGAGCAGCCATCAATGGAGGTCTTCAAATGATTTTGCTAATTGCTACACTGAACGAAGAAGCAGAGGCGGGTAGCTTAAATGACGAAATCTGTATTAAATAGTGAACGGTCTGAAGTTAAAGACGGAGACCCATACTTATAGAGGATTTCAAACGCCAACATGCATTTACTCATAAAATACTATATTATATGATAATTATATTACTTTTTATTATTTAATTTATCGTGATTTATTATTCAAAATGATGTCAGGCGCGGGCCGCCGGCTGACTATTTTCACGGATTGTTTGGAATTTTGTAGATATATGTAATTGTATTTAATTACACGCATGTGGTATGTTTAGGTGATGGTAATGGTAATAAGCAATGGATGAATTTTAAAAAAATATATTTAATTAATTATTAAGTTGTTTATAATTACATATTGTTGATTAAGAATGTCTAAGAAGTATAATGTATTATAATAAGTTTAGGTGTAACTATAGTACGATATGTCTAAAAAATCATTAGAACAAGTGAACTATATATAGGTATCGTTATAATTAGTGGGTTAGGGTTTAGGTAACCATAACAACTCATTTATTTAAATAAACTTTTAAATTTATTTATATTATTTAATTTTGTGTAATTATTCTTTATCCCCCTCTTAATAATCATATATACTTTATGTATTTAAGAATGGTTAAAGTCGTATATTTTTATAACATTAATGATATCTATCAAATTAAGATTAATAATCGCTATAATAATAGTAAAGATTATTTCTTATTTCATATCGCATCATATACAATTGTCATGAAGTAGGTACAAGTACTGAATATGTTGTAAATTATATTGAGCTTATATTTAATGTCCGAGTTACAAGTTTGGTTAATTTAAAGATTAATTGTTTTAATATTGATGCTTAATGATTTAATTATATATTTTAAAATTTAGAGATTAATTAAATTAGATTATAATTCAAAACTTCTCATGGAATTAACTTTCAAAAGTTTTGGATCAAAGCCGATTTATATGGCCATTAGTAGTTTAAAAAAAGAGAAAATAACCTCAGTGACCGAAAATCCTTTATAATATACGATTTTAATCAATTTTGTTTGAATTTGTCAAAATGACCAACAAAATCGCAATGCGATCTCTAAATCGCAACGCGATCTCCAGTATCGCAAATAAGTTTTCAGATTCGCAACGCGAATTTAAAAAATCACAATACGATTCTGACTATCGCAATGCGATAGTCTGAATTCGCGTTGCGATAGTCCAAAATCATTGCGATAGCACTGTTCACATTGCGAATTTACGATAGTATTGTTGTTTCCTGTCCAGAAGGATGCAAAAAAGCTTCAAACTTAGATTTTTTTGTTTGAATTCTCTTTATAAGGTTTTATGATAGAATATAATTTTTTAAAAATAAAAATAAATTTTATAATGTTTATTTATGATAAACTATAAATTTTAAATAATATAAAATTAAATAAATATAAATTCTAAATTATTTATGATAGAATAAACTATATTTATTTATTTATATTTAATCTCTTAATTTTCTTTCTTTTAATTCACTGTCAATCTCTCTTTCTTTCTTTCACTCTTTTTCTCTTCTTACGCTCGCAATATCTACATCGATCTGATCGCAAAATTTTAATTATAAATGATCTCTATTTCATATTTTTAGTTTATAAATCTCTTTTATTTACAGATCAAGGATTTTAGTTTTCTTTGTGCAATAAGTCTCTTTAATTTCTTACAAAATTTGTTCAAATTTTTATCTTATTTTGTACAAATTTTTATCTTGTTTTTGTAAATTTTTTACTTTCAGTGTTATTTTTTCGTCACTTTTCGAATTATTAATGGATGCTCAATTATTTTTCAGCATATTAACTAATTCCATATGATTCTTACTTGTCGTTGATCATCACAATATCTCTTTCTTCCTATATAAATTCATACACCATTAAAGAGAATTCAAACAAAAAAAATCCCAAGTTTAAAGCTTTTTTGCATCCTTCTGGACAGGAAACAACAATACTATCGCAAATTCGCAAAGTGAACAGTGCTATCGCAATGTGAACAGTGTTATCGCAACAGTGAACAGTCAATCGCAACGTCAATTCGGGCTATCGCAACGCGAATTTGGACTATCGCATTGCGATAGTCAGAATCGCAATGCGATTTTCCAAATTCGCGTTGCGAATCTGAAAACTTATTTGCGATACTGGAGATCGCGTTACGATTTAGAGATCACATTGCGATTTTGTTGAACATTTTGACAAATCCAAAAAAAATTGATTAAAATCGTATATTACGAGATTATTATCTCTTAAAAAAATTAGTTTGGCGTCTTTTAATTTGGGTGGGGGTGGGGACCAGAATCGTGGGACCATGAAGATGCCACTGTCCCATTCCATGAACCATGGATGGAAATTTAATCCTATTATATGTACGAGCATAAAATTTTATATTATGATGATAGAGTTTTAAAATATTAAAAAAATAAATTTTTAATTTTTTTTTAAAAAAATATATAAATAAATTATCATTTAAAAATATATAAAAAATTAAAAAATATATATTAATTTAAAATTTTTAAGGGTACTATCTTGACCCACCCCGCTGCAGTCGATCCCTGCTTACGACCAGAGGGTAGACACTAAAAACGGTTGAGTAATGTTGAAATAATCTCCCCTCAGTTTCATTCATTCCATGCACAGCAACGGCCGGCCGATGTGAACCGAGTAACCTACCCAATGCTTTTACGTGGATTGAGGTTAATTTGCCCATTAATTTTTGGGCCTTTCTCCATCTCTAATCAAAGTGAGTTATGAGCCCATAAAAGATATGGTCGGCGCAAACGGGGATTGGAAATGGACTGAGCTTATTATTTTTTGCCTTCTTCGCTAATATGGCATTTGGCTGCTGTCAAACTCTTGGTAATCCGGATATTCCTGGTTGGCGTTGGGATAAACATCGTCGTTTCACAATTAAAAGTGCGTATGATTGTCGCTTGCCTGCTGAGTCTCGTGATGAAAGGCCTCTGTGGAAAGTCATTTCTTGTTATCATGGCCTGGAGCTAACCCTTCGGTCTTCAGTCATTTCAGAACCCTCCCATGGCGTTAATTGATGTTCTGCAACTACAAAGGGACAATCCACTGATTCAAGCATCTCATGGAGGGAGCTAGGCGTACGGCTTAGGACTCCCCTTCTCTCTGTTTCTCACTCTTTGATTAAAAAATATTAAATGTTTTGGACAGCAAATAAATAAAATTTGATTAACTTAAATAACTAACTTATACACAACAATCGCAAACTCAATTCATAGGTAATTTTAACCAGTTCACTGTCAGAGGCTTTCGTAAATCACCTTCAATGTTAGCAGTGGCGGAGCCACAGTTTTGTGAGGATATATACATATCCGGCTGAAGTTTAAATTTTATTCGATTAATTACTTATTTTTTATATTCTATTAAAAAATATTATTATATTATATCTATTTTAAAAAGTATTTCTAAATCCACCGTTAATATTAATATTAATACAATAAAAAACTCATCACATCCTTACGATAGATGCATGCAAATTAGCAGCGGCGATCATTTCCATGGAGTGGGATGTTTCTAGAGATCATGATTGACAATTGTAATTGTTTAATGTAGTGACAAAATACAACTCATTATTACAAGTCCCCCACAATGCAATACAGATCAAAGGAAGTCGAAAAATTCAGTCCAGGAATGTTCAACAACATATTTTATGATCTTCGATATTACTCAGACGATAGATGCATGCAAATTATTAGCAGCGGCGATCATTTCCATGGAGTGGGATGTTTCTAGAGATCATGATTGACAATTGTAATTGTTTAATGTAGTGACAAAATACAACTTCATTATTACAAGTCCCCCACAATGCAATACAGATCAAAGGAAGTCGAAAAAATTCAGTCCAGGAATGTTCAACACATATTTTATGATCTTCGATATTACTCAGAGAAGATCAATTAACTTATCTTACTGACCATCAAGATAACTTAAAACGTATATTAAATTGGTATGCTTAATAAACTATCAAATGAAGATAATATAAAATTTATGGCTTAATACAAAAAAAATCAAATTATACGTTTTTCTTAGAGTGATGTCTATTTTGTTAGAAAAACTTTAGAAAGAACCCAAAACTTGAAATCTCATTTTAATCTCTAACAACGTCGGCCGTCGCTCTTTACCACTGCGAACTTCACACAACTGCACCTCCACCGACCAATTACTCACGAAAAATCATCAGAACAGGAGCCACGAACCAGAAATGGAGCAAACTATCATGCGAGCTCAACGAAGAACAAAGCTGCAAATCGCAACACCACACGATCTCGATGGTCAATCGATAGTAAATGACGACGTCTGATTAGGAGATGACAAGGCGATGTTGACGGCATTGGTCGTGACCGACAATGAATGTAAGTTAAGGTTAGGGATTTGAGAATTTTAGGGATTTGGAGTTTTTTTGTAATTTAAGAGAAATTAGAGTTTTAAATATAATTATATTTTTTTAAAAAAAATGTGATTTTCAAAATTGTATGAATGAAACACGTGTCACTTAACGAAATTTTTTAATAGTCGTTACGGCCAATGCACCTAAAGTGATAACATTTATAATATTAGACACCTGAATTGACCGAAAAATTTAGATACCACTTTAAGAAAAAGTGTATAGTTTGGACATTTTTGTATATTAAGCTAAAATTTATCTATAACAAAAATTAAATATTTTCTTTCATAAACAATCAAATTTGATATACATACGTCATAACAGAATAATAATTCTTTAAAGTATAAAGACTTCAAAATCTTAATAGTGAAACAATTAATTTGATTTAAGAAAAAAATTAGAAAATACATTGATTAAGAAACACTTTGAGTGTTACATAAAATAAGATGCATCTAATCAATTATTATTTTTATAAATTGTTGATTAGATGTAACTACACACTATGAATAAATATATTTTTATATTACTTTTGTTAATTAATTATAAAAATGTATTATTGTAGTTAAAAAATGACATTTATATATGGCAAGGGGAATGTGGCTTTGAATGCGCAAGCAAACGCACGAAGTTCCACTCCCCACGCAAACTTTATCACCTTCTATTACCATCACCCTACAATACGGACAACGAGAGACATCCATTAGGCAACGTTGTATTACCTGCCACTGACGGTAACTCTATCCTTCCACTATGTGACAATTACCTTTTTCTCCCGTTTTCATCATCCTCTTACGAATACATTTCGAGATCTATAAAAGCTGACCTAGATTTCCGTTCCTTCTTCCTGAAACAGTTAACTCATCGTTCCTCTCTCCGACTGATCTAGTGCTCGTACCCTTTAGATCTCTCCCGGTAAGTATTGTCTTTTCTGATATTTTTGCTGTTTTATTCTTTTGAATTTGGCGAAATCAGAACCATTGATTATTGATCATTTTTTTCTTTTCACGATGACTAGTTTTTGTTGTTGTTTCTGATGTTTGATTGTTTCTTGTAATCATCGTATGGATACGGTTTTCTGATCTCTCTTTTCTTGGATTAATTTCTGATGTATGGTTGGATAGCTGCATGATTCGTTGTTTAAGTCATTTTTGTTAGACTTATTTGAATTGTTTGGTCGATGATTGATATTAGTCCGTCAAATCTATTTAATCGTTTTTAACAGTCCGATATAAAAGATCTCCTGGGAACCGTTAAGGTATATCTATTAAGTATACAACACGGTACCGGTTTTTGCTGAATTGACTGACCTGCGTGTGCTGCAAAAATTCTCAGATGCGATTATTATTAATTTAAAAAAATGGTGTTGATTTTGGTGCAAGGGAAATAAAATTTGTATTCTCTTTGAGGAAAATAGTTCTCTTAAAAAATGTTATTTTCATATTATTTCTTTGTCAAAATCTTTAGTCCATGTTAATCATCAGGAATTGCTTTTAGTTTTCTTATCGTTAATTTGTAGTTTTATAGTTTTATTCGGTTTCTATTTCTTAGTGGATTTCTTTACTATTAACTTCTAAGTTCCCCCCTCTCTTTCTCGACAAGGAAGCAAGCTGTATGGAATCCTTTATTTTGTTTTCTCCTGTTTTGAAAGTAATTAATACTATTAACTCTAGGAGCATTGAAGTCTTAAAATGGCGGATAATGGGGAAGAAAAGGAAAACATCCCACGTGGTAATGAATGGGAAGTTGTGTCCCTGACTGCATCTGCATATGCTGCCGCTCCTGGTCCAAAAGAAGTTGAAACAAAGGATGATAGCATAGGTGATTTATATGAAGTGAAAGAAGCAGAAACTTCTCGTGCTTTATTCATGTCCATCACTTTGTCTTTCCCCCCAGCGAGCATGAGAATTTGCTACTGGAACTCAATAATACTAGCGACATGTTGACAAGGACGTGGGCCCTGAATCTGGTGTTGTAGAAGAAGGTGATAGATCTAGGACAAAGGAAGAAGAAGATTGGTCACTGAAGGGTTGAATGCACATGACGAATTTCCAGGTATGGAATTTTTTGATGAGAAACATGGTCCAGAGTTTGAAGAAGGAACAACAATGCAAGGACTGGATTTGATCAACAAGGACCAGAGTTGTATAGTGCTGCTACATTTAGTTCTTTCCATAGCGAGGAAGCTCTCGGTGGATCAACCACCGCTGTTTCTGAGCTTATTGAAGCTTCTGAACAAGACTTCGGTTTTCCTTCAGACATGCCTGAGTCTGCAAAGCCTCTACAAGATGATAAATCTGATGGCTCTGATCTCCCTTGCGAAGCTTGGTGGAAGAGAAGAGCAATTTCATTGTATGCTCATGCAAAGAGGCAAATGCTTTTTGGTCTGTTTTCGTTGCAGCTGCTGTCTTGGGCCTTGTGATTCTTGGGCAGCGTTGGCAACAAGATAGGTGGCAAGCATTGCAACATAAGTGGCAGCTCAGCCTCAACAATGAGGTATACTTACCGACTGCTAATTGGTCCTTTCAGATTTAACGGGGATGCATATTTTACTTCTCTTTGCATTTTGTAAAGCTAATGCTGCTTTGATTTTTCATTTTTCTTGAGTTTCTGTTTGGCTCTTACCCGAATACACGTGTGAGGATATGAACCCCCCCCCCCGAAAAAAAAAGACAGAAAAGCTTTTACATAAATAAATATACCTTTGTCCGGTACATGTCCTCATTTTACATTCATGCTTGAGTCCAAATGACAGCCATAAAACATTTACTTTTGTGAAGTAAGAGGTATTGAAAAGGCAGGTTCTGCATTTTACCTAGTGTTTTCATATTATCATGATATGTGAGTCTACATGAACATGGACATGTATGGAGACTACTGAATTGATATAATTGGGCGGTTGGTTAAGTTTGTTGTGTAATATTTTGCAAAAAAAAAACCTATTTCTTGGTTGGACTAAGTATAGAGGAATTAAAGAAAAGAAAGGAAACAAGATCCTATGCCTACTATTTTATATGTTTTTAGTAACTCCCTGCATGTTGAGATATCTGTTCGTTGTAGGAGGCTGTCTTAGATCTAAACTGTTCTAGTACTATGCATTTTGAGCATGCTGCCTTCTTATTTCTCTATCCCTTTCTCCCTCTTCTTTTTCTCTCATCTATGACCTACCGTCTTTGTCTTCGGAGATTGACATTTCTTTTTTACCTTTTGAGTTTTGACAGAAGACTGGTAGGGTGCTTGGTTCCATATATCGCCTCAAAGAAGTCATCGCCGGTGGCCACCGCCGAGGTTCTTTTGGGAGGGTCACCTTCCCTAGTGAAAGTTTAAACTTGTGATGATGATGAAAAAGCAAAGTGAGAGAATGACATGGAGAAATTGATTGGGGTATTGATATGCTAGTTTGCTATTTGATTGTCTTTATCTCTCACGAAAAGCTACATAGCTTTCAACCTTAATAGTTTCCGAAATGTGTTTATATTGTTAGCATTGTCTGCGACTTGTTTTTATTTTTGTGTTATATTTACCACTTACCGCAACCTCACCGAGGTGCCCCTTTGGCCATTTCCTCTATGATTTCATGCATCATCTATGTGTCATAAATGCTAGTAAAGAACCTACTTTAGTAGATTTTCATTTTTTGATGTCCTCTAATAAATTAAACAAAAGCAAAACGATAGAAATTGAGAATTCAATGTTACGTCCCTGATTTGTAACCGATGCGCTTGTTAATCTGTGCATTTTGGTACTATTAATAGGGTTAATAATTTCCTACCGTCATTTAAAGTTGTTTGTACTTGTTATACCATAAAAATGAGAAATTCTATTCTGCGACACTTTTAATATATGTCTAAGAAAATGCGCAACCGATTTTATTATTATTATTTTAATATTTTTGGTAAAAAAATTACTTATTATATAATTATTTCTATATAAAACATTGATTTTTTAACTTTTTTAGTAAAGTGTTCAATAATAATAAAATCGTTAGAAAAAATAATGTTTTAGGTAGTGTTTTATCATATATGTTAACAAAACTGGTAAAGCGTCAAATAATAACAAAATCAGTAGGAAAAGTAATGTTTTAGATAATTTTTTATTGAAAATATTAAAAAATAATAACAAAATCAGTAGAAAAAGTAATGTTTTAGATAATTTTTTATTGAAAATATTAAAAAAATAATAACGAAACCAGTAGAGCGTTTTTTTAGCTGTATATTAAGACTGTCGCGTGAGACTTCCCCCATTAAAATAGAGAAATATTTTGGTTGGATTGGATAGGGGTCAAGGACAATAGGGGTGTGTTAAAATTGGTGAAAACTGATTGAATTCATCCAATTTGACTTTTTGGTTCAGTTTGGTACTTCGGTTGATTTCGATTTTAGTTTGGTTTTGAAGGTATGTTAGTTCGAAAGAAGTTAATTTGATTTCGGTTTTAGATTTAAAGCGGTTTGATCGAGTTTGAACTTTGAATAACCAATTAAATATAATTAAACTAAAACCCAATAACACGATCAAAGTTTAAACCAAAACCTAAAATAAAAATAAACCAAACCTAAACCCAACAACTATTACTCCATATAAATTAAGTTTTTCAATTCTAAAAGTGTAAATATAATTAAAATTAAAAGACAAATCATCTCAATGATCACTAATGTTTATATAAGCTCCTTTATTCAATATATAAGTTTTAAACTTTATGTTATAATTAATAATATGATTAATTTATAACAAACTGATCAAATTATAGCAAAAAATAATAATATATTTTTATTTTTTAAGTAATAGTCCGAACTGGGTAAAAATTTGGAAATGTTCATACCAGGATCTAGTTCTATCTTTTCGTTTAGCCCAACGAATACCATTACACCAATACCTGGCTGGGCCTGGCTTGCCTCACTCCTCCGCACAATATGATAGCATCTCTTCTTGGCGGGAAAACTTATTTCTCCTTTTCTTTTTTCTATTATTTCTACCACCAATCCCAAATACACTCATTTTAGGGTTCTGATTAAACTCAGTTTGGAAGCCTCTCATTCATTTGGCGTATTTCATTCTGTTAATCAGGTAATTCTCTTAGTTTGGTTGCCGACAAAACGTTGAAGAACTAAAAATAAATTTCGAATGCGCCATTTTCTTGATGACTGATAAGCGAATATAATATCCTGTTTTGTTTGTTTGGCTGGAACTTTAATTTCTCGTCTTATTTTCGCCACGATTTACTCTTATTTATCAACGCAGAATGAAGCGTTTGTTGTACCTTTGAACTTTGATTTCACTTTTAGTGTTGAACTGCTATTCTCTTCTTTTTTTCTTAATCTGATTTTTTTAAAATGGAATCTTATTTTGATGTATCAGTGAAGTTGATTGTTTCAATGCAGATTAATGGATATGGAAGGAAGCCCACAAGTTACGAGAAGAACAACTAGGTCTTGCGCTGTTTCCAGCAATGACGTTGAATCTACAAAACCTTCTGAATCCTACAAACCAACTCTCAATGACCTTGCATTCGGAAAACAACCTTTTGGCTTGGAGGATCTCTTGTCTCGTTTTCCCTGCAGACGTACTCAAATTCTAGAGTTTTTACGCTTATTGGGTCCCTTGAATTCCCCCTTGTTCCCGGTTTTGGTCTATGGTGGTCCTTCTACAGGGAAAACCAGTGTTACTCTCCAGGTATTCAGGCATCTAAATCGCCCTTTCATATATTCCAGTTGCGTTACATGTTACAGTCCCAGGATCTTGTTCGAGTCCATGTTGAACCAGTTGTTGTTTCATAGGAAGGACTCAAAACATAGTTATTCTAGTGTAAAACGTTGTGAGAGGCCATCTGATTTTGTGAATTATCTTCGTGAAGCATTGGAGAATGTGATTTCTAGTCTCAAGGGGAATTCAGGGAAATCAAATTCTAAGATGAGCGGACGACCTGATGGAACTATGGTTTACTTGGTTTTTGATAATTTGGAGTGTGTTCGATATTGGGATAAAAGTTCTACTATATTACCCTTTTTATTTAACCTTTATGATATTTTAAAGATGCCCGAGGTTGGTTTGATCTTTATTAGCAATATCTCACCTGATATGTATTACTTGAATATTGGTTATGTGGAGCCAATTCCTCTTTATTTTCTCAACTACACTGAAGATGATCTTCGCCATATTTTTATGGTAAATCAAACCAACCGCAAGCTGTATGCCTCCTTCCTTGAGTAAGTACCCAGATCAGAAGCCAGTGAACCCTTCTTTTGTGTGCATCAACTAATGAAACTCTTCCTTCTTTTATGTCACACAGTGTTGTGCTAAGGCCTTTCTGTAGAGTTACCAGACGTGTAGATGAGTTGGCTGCGGCCCTTTCTTCATTATTTAAAAAGTACTGTGAACCCTTAAGTGACAAGGAAGTTGCTCCCAATGAAGAAATGAAGAGAAAGTTGTTTAGTCAGATTCGACCGCATATTTCTTCTGCATTGAATGAAACATTCCAGGTTAGATCTCAACCACTTCTCGGAGCTGAAGCTAACAAGACAAAGAAAACAAATAGTTCAAAGATGTCAGGAATTCTAGAAGACTTTGATAAGATAGATTTTCACATGTCCACTTCTGCAAAGTATCTTCTTATTTCGGCATTCCTTGCTTCAAGAAACCCTGCCACCCTTGATGCTTCACTATTTGATTCAACGGGGGTTTCTGATAGTCGCAAAAGAAAGAGGAAGTAAGCACAACAATAACTATTTAGTTTTTTCTTTAAGAATACACTTCTAGGCCATGGAGCTACTATTGACCATATGGGAAAAAGTAGTATGATAATGGAGTCTAGCTGTCCATTAGAGCTCCCTTGTTCTACTGTAATGATTTGCTTTAACTCTTCCATTGGATATGAATTTCGGTCTATTATCCCTGTCATGTGGAAAGTACTGCAGTTGTGCTTGAAGGAGCAACTTCAATTACAAGCTAAGAACATCTTATTCTGGAATATGTAGTGTAGTATTTGCTGATTTGATCATGCTACACAGCTAATTGATTTAATGGTGCTGGTCCGGATCTTAATTATTAGTACATATAAATGATCTTTTGTAACCTGATGATTCGAAATTGTTTTGCCCTGCAAGTCGCTTGCTTAGATACTCCATTCTCTCTAAGAACTAATGACCTCATCTAATTTTCTCTATGCATCTTGTTTTACTTGTAAAGTAAATTTTGACTGAATACTTTTGTCTGTAGGGCCTCTGAGAAATCAATGGATCAGAAGGAAATGGCGGAGCAGGAATTGCATATGAAAGGGCCTGGAACGTTTCCATTAGAGAGGTTATTAGCCATATTTCAGTGTATAACTTCTTTAGCAGAAGATTCCCTTGATGAAGAAGAAAGTCGGGAGCTAACAACTGAGGGAAGTAGTAGAGGACTGATGTCTGATGTACTATTGCAGCTGTCTAGTCTATGCAATGCTAATTTTATCATTAAAGGAGGAAGCTGTCCATTGGAGGGGTCAACTCGATATCGTACTGCAGTAAGTGAAGATCTAGCTTTGAAGGTAATCTTTTCAACATCTGTCTTGTAACTTTACAAGAAACTTTGATCTAATATGTTATGTTATTATACTGTGTCTATGCAAACCTTAATTCTATTTTAACCGAATACAGGTGGCAAGGAGCCTTAAGTTCCCTTTATCAAAATACTTATACAGAAGATAATCTTGATGTGAAGAGATGCTTCATCATCATCAATTTTTCTTTGTCAACCGATTATGAAGGAGCATATGAAAATTCCAAGGTGATAATTTTTGTTTAATATGTATTTTGTTTGGAACTGTCGTACGTAGATGTTAAATTTGTTAACCTAACGCCATGGACGAGGAATCAAGGAATAAATCGACAATCATAGTCCATGGTCCTCGTAGTCTGATATTGTAACTCACTTACAGAGGAATTCTGTTTAGCAACGTAGTCGATAACTGCAGGTGATAATTTTTGTTTGATATAGCCTCCCGAATTCTTGTTTTTAACATTGCTCAACTTCTGGTTATGGTTCTCATAATCTTCTTATGCCCAAAAATGTATGGAATTTTACATCCAGAAAAGGATTTGTGGTCTCTATTCTGATTGCGAATGTCTCATGGAAATGGACTGCCGACACCTATTTTGGTAATCTATGGGTTATATTGTGGTGCATGTGCTGATATTGATATTTTTAGAGAAATAACCAACTCAAAAGATAGAAAGCATTCAAAGCATACACATACAAAAAGGGTAAATGATAATCACTAATAAAATAAAATAAAATAGAAGTACATATATTACAATGCATCAATCAGTCAAAAAAATCATGTTTCTTCAAATAACTTTGATTGAATGATTGTGAAATTATAGAAAATAAAGTACATATATTAAAATGCTCTCAATCCCTAAAACATGAGTAAATTGATTTCACAAAAGGACACGATTCTAATTAAACTACCCAAACTCTTTTTTCAACTTAAAGGATAATAAATATTTATATTAAAAAATAATAAATATTTAAACGTCTTTTAAATTTATATCTTCATAAATGTATAAGAACAATTATACATTGGCCAATCTTCTGTCCTTCGTGCCGAACTTTGAAGAATTTATGAAAGCCTTAATTTATCCTGGAATCATGGCTATGATAAGGTCCAATGCCAAATGGACAACTCAGTGGCTTATAACCTAATCACTTCTTCAGATCCCTTGTCATCTCATACTACTATGGTGTTGGGAATTAAACAGAGTACGAGTAATTTTCTTATAATCAGATTAGTGAGAATGCGAAATAAAAGCGGAAAAATAATACCCGAAATTGATAACGGAGTTCAACCAATTTGCTTATGTCTCTGCACTGCTACAGATCTTTTACTAAGAGAGAAAATTTACAGGTGTTTACAAAACACTCACTACTCACAAGAAAACTCTCTAGTATTGGGAGAAAAAAAAATGATTTTTGGGATGATTTTGAAGCTAAATGAGCTAGGGTATTTATAGTTGAAACTTAGGTACTAATCTTTGAAAATACCCTAAAGTGCAATGACTAAAGTGAATTTACCCATTCCTATTTTCAACAAACATCTACCAAACTTTACCAAACTTTAAAAAACATTTACCAAACTTTGAAAAACATTTTTCAAAGTTGGTTACCAAACTTTGAAACTAACTTTTAACAATCTCCTACTTGAAGACTGATTTTAATCTGTCTTCACACCTCGATCAATGCAACAGTATTTTTGGTCTTGTTATTCTAGCATGCCAACTGAAGTTGAACACAACTTCAGTTTGTCCGTAGTCACCGTCTTTGTCAACATGTCTGCCGAATTTTGAGCTCCACTAATCTTTTCAAGTTTCAAAATCCCATCTTCCAGAAAAGATCGGATAAAATGATATCTTAATTGTATGTGCTTCATCCTGGAATGAAAAGACGGATTATTTGCTATATGGATAGCACTTTGACTGTCGCAATACAAGACATTGTTTTCTTGTTTCTTGCCTAACTCTTCCAAGAAACTTTGGAGCCAAACCATCTCATTGCTGCCTTCCGTAACAACGACATATTCTGCTTCAGTTGTGGAGAGAGCAACTATCTTCTGTAGTTGAGAAACCCAACTCACTGCAGTTCCTCCTAGAGTATAGACATACCATGTAGTGCTCCTTCTGATGTCAATATTTCCAGCTAAGTCAGCATCTACATAGCCTGTCAGTGTCGTATCTCCACCTTTGAAAAAAAGTGCTTTGTTTGTAGTACCCCGCAGATATCTGAGGATCCATTTGACTGCTTCCCAGTGTACCTTGCCCAGATTATTCATGTACCTGCTAACAGCTCCCACTGCTTGAGCAGTATCTGGTCTGGTACAAACCATGGCATACATTAGACTTCCAATTGCTGAGGCATACGGCACCTTCACCATGTGTGCACGTTCTTCCTCCGTCTTTGGTGATTGTTCTTTGAAGAGTCTAAAATGAACACCTAAAGGTGTACTTACTGGTTTAGCATCTTGCATGTTGAACCTGGAGAGTACTTTGTTGATGTACTCAGCCTGTGATAACATCAAAGTCCCTGACTTTGTGTCTCTCTTGATCCTCATCCCAAAAATCTGCTTTGCAGCGCCCAGATCCTTCATAGCAAACTGCTTCGACAATTTTTGCTTCAAGTGTATAATCTTTTGCATGTTTGAGCCTGCAACGAGCATGTCATCAACGTACAGCAATAAAATAATGAAGTTATTGTCGAACCTCTTGATGTAGCAACAATGATCTGCTTGGCATCTGGTAAAACCACTACTACCCATGAAGCTATCGAACTTCTTGTACCATTGTCTAGGAGCTTATTTTAAACCATACAAGCTCTTCTTCAACCTGCAGACCAGGTTTTTCTTGCATGCCTCTATGAAGCCTTCTGGCTGCCTCATATAGATTTCTTTCTCCAAATCACCATGAAGGAAAGTTGTCTTTACATCTAACTGCTCAATATGTAAATTCTCTGCAGCTACAATTTTCAATACTAGTCTGATTGTAGACTGTTTCACGACTGGAGAGAAAATTTCATTGTAGTAAATACCTTCTTTTTGTTGAAAACCTTTGACAACCAATCTTGTTTTATAGCGTTTGCTCCCATCGTGCTCTTCTTTGATCCTGTAAATCCACTTGTTATAGAGCGCTCTCTTGTCTGGTGGTAATTCAGCTAATTCCCATGTTTGATTTGACATAAGCGAGTCCATCTCATCTTTCATTGAAGACTCTCACTTGACTGAATCCTCCACCTGCATTGTTTCATCATAGCACTCTGGTTTACCATTGTCAGTCAGCAACAAGTAGTGCAAAGAAGGCGAATATCGTTGGGTTGGTTTAGGAATTCTGGAGGAGCGTCTCAGTTCTGGTGTACGTGGTTCTTCTTAAACTGCTTCAAGATTGATCTAAACATCATTTCCAGAAATCTCCTCGAACTTAGCAAATTCCTTTGTTTCAGCTTCTGTATTGGAGCTACTTGATTCTATGGTTGACCTGTCTTTGTACATCACATTCTCATTGAAAATGACGTCTCTGTTTCTGATGTTCTTCCGATTTTCATAGTCCCAAAACCAGTAACCGAACTCATCACCGCCATAACCAACAAAGGCACATTTGTTGGACTTGGCATCAAGTTTACTTCTTTCAGCAGAATCTATGTGTACATAAGAAATACAACCAAACACTCTTAAGTGTGAAAGGTTTATTTCTTTCTTGCTCCAAACTTCCTCTGGTATTCTGCCATCCAAAGGAAATGAAGGCCCATGGTTGATCAGGTAAGCTGTAATGTTGATAGCTTCAGCCCATATAAATTTGGGCAATCCGGCATGTATCATCATGCTTCTGGCACGTTCATTCAGAGTTCTGTTCATGCGCTCTGCTACGCCATTTTGCTGTGGTGTCATGGGAACTGTTATCTCCATCTTGATCCCATTGCTTGCGCAAAATTCTATGAATCTGTTGTTTCTGTACTCTCCTCCATTGTTAGACCTCAGTCGCTTGACTTTCAAACCAGTCTCATTTTCCACCATAACCTTCAATTTTCTGAAGGTATCAAAGACTTCTGATTTCTTCTTCGGAAAATAATCTCACACCTTCCTTGTAGAATCATCGATGAAGGTGACATAATATAGTGAGCCTGCAAGAGATGGAACTGGAGATGGTCCCCATACATCAGTATGAACTAACTCTAACTTTTCTGCCTTGGGTGTCTTGCCAATCTTTGCAAAACTGACTTTCTTTTGTTTGCCAAAGATACAATCCTCACATAGTCCGACATCTACATTCTTTAGATCCGACAGCTTCCCTTTTGACAAAAGTGTCTTCATCCCTTTCTCGCTCATATGACCAAGCCTTTGGTGCCATAGGTTTGATTTTCAATTAGCATCTGCTACAACAATGATATTCTCTAAATTTGATGTTATATAGAGAGTACTAGTCTTTTTACCACGAGCAATGACAAGTGGTCTTTTGGTAATCTTCCATTCACAGCCTGAAAAGGTTGTGTTATATCCTTCTCCATCAAGCTGTCCTACAGAAATCAAATTTCTTTTGAGGCTAGGAATATGTCTCACTCCCTTCAGCGTCCAGGTGGTCTGGTTTGGCAGCTTTAGTCGGATGTCTCCTCTTCCGACGATCTTCAAGGTTTCATCATCAGCTAGATGAACCTTCCCAAAATCACCACTGACATAGTTCTCCATAATTTCTTGGCATGAGGTGGAGTGGAAAGATGCCCCTGAATCCAAGATCCATGATTCAATTGGACTGTTGACGCTTAGAATCATGGCATCACCTGTCTTCTCCGTCATGTTGGTAGATTCCTGTGCGCCGGTATTTTTTTCGGTGCTCGGCAATCTTTTTTAAAGTGACCCTTCTTGCCGCAATTATAACAGGTAAAATCTTTATTTCATGTTCTTGTTTTCCCCTTCTGGATTTCGATCTGCCACGATTTGAATTCCTTTATGAAGTTCTCCCTCTAGACTCCGTGTGCAAGGCTGAGGAGGTTGATGCTTCACTCGATTCTCTCCGTCGAATTTCTTCACTCAATACCAGATCCCGAACATCGTCGAATTTTAATTTTACTGTTTCCCGACGAGCTGTTGACTGTTGTAACAGTAGCATTCCAATTGTCTGGTAGAGATGATAAGAGAATTAAAGCTCGAACTTTATCATCGAATTCAATTTCCACTGAACTCAACTGCGTTGTGATTGTGTTGAGTTCATTTAGGTGTTGAGCCACTGATGCCCCTTCCGCCATCCGCAAATTGAATAATCGTCTCATCAAATGAACTTTGTTTGAGGCCGATGGCTTCTCATACATACTGGAGAGAGCCATCATAAGACCCGCCGTGGTCTTTTCCTTTGCTATGTTGAAAGCAACATTTCGGGACAACGTCAGTCGGATAATTCCGAGGGCTTGTTTGTCGGTAAGAGCCCAGTCTTCATTCTTCATGCCCTCTG